TTTGTCCCGGATGACTGTTCGAGCCTTCTAGAGTTTAATTCTCATTAGTTTGTCCAGTGCAGCCAACCAGTTTTTTCTGTACTTCACACATTAATGTAAACTATGAATTGGATTTGAGTCATGAGCTGGAAGAGCTACTACGTCACTGACATTCTGGTTTCCTGCACTTTACCTTTATGCATTAGCTAACTTTAGGATCAGGAAAGTCATTTAACATAAAATCAGCTCATATTGTAAAACCTGTATTCCCTGTTTCTAAATGACTGAATGAAAGTTTGATATTTTAATATAGTAATGTGTCAGACCCACACTCAGACACCATCCATGTATCTATGCTCTTGCTTGATTTGGAACAGCCAACGTTCATTTTTGCAAAACACCAGAATAGTTCAAGACAAGTCCAGTCCTATCAGTGCTGCTGACATGCTCCTGATGCATGGCAGATATTTGGTAAAGGTTACACCAACAGGCCCATTAGTGGCCTGATGACAAAAATTACATGTGACTGTCTGAATGAACCGTGACACTCAAGAGTCAGACATTTTTACATCAAGTGGCCACTTGATTTCCAGGGAAACCTAGAGAAGGGAGAACCAGGAAATCAGCCTAAACTGGCTAAACTTACAGCAGACCCATGCATGTGATTTCTTATGTATAAAAACATTCACTTTTATATGTGTACTCACTTCTCTCGCATGCTTTTATTGTTGTATGTTGACTGCCTCTTAGCACTAATCGCTGGATGATTTGACTTGAGTATTTCTGCTGCAGACTATCACAGATATATAGTATTTCATGAATGCTGATCTCACAGAAAAGAGACACAGGCCTGTAATTCTTCGCCTGTGTGAGGAATGATAATGATTCTGACCCTGGCCTTGGGTTAACCTTGCCTAGCTTAGCAACGGTTACCACTGAGCTCCAGACAGCAGGGCAGACTGGAAGGCTCCGTAGCCCGGCTGGCCCACGTGCGGTCCCACATCAGGGGGCGTGCACCCTGTCTGTCCCTGCTCTTACATCTATACCTTTTTACCCAGCCTCCCCCCAAAGAAGGGAATTGGAGGATTTGTCATCAACACACAAACACACACGCACAGGTCTCCAAACCCCCTGCTGACACACAGTGGAATGCACAACTGTTTATGCACACAAAGGGACAGTATGGACACCCAGATAAACAGATGTTGGGCTTAATGCGGAGCACTTAGGAAAATTATTCTTGCAGTCTGTAGTCATAAGAGGTGGAAAATCAAGAGTAACATTTAGCAAAGCATCTTTATGGCATGGTCTTGCCAAATATTTAACTTTATTGTTTTCATCAGTAGTATTTGTTGTTTCTCAACCCTTTAGCATACAGACAGTATAAAGCACACAAGAAAACTCAATCCCAGCAAATAATGTCCTGAGAAGAACCCCCTCCCCCAAAATCCCTAATGAATCACAAGGAATATTAGACTGTAATATGTCTGTACTGTTATTCCACTACAGAGGGTACTCTGCTTACCTGTGCAAACAAACATTTTTCTGTGAGGATCTACAGCCATAGAAGTGTAAATGATGAATCCAAGTCTGAAAAGTGAGGTTAACATAAATGCTCTTAAAACATCTTTTTTAATGCCTATCAGGGCACAAACATACTCATCTCAAGGCTTCATAACCAGATTTAACTAATCAACGGATGAAGTCAATGTGGGTACATCTATCTTTGTCCAGTCTACAACAGATTTCCACTGACATCCGGCCTCTGTGGTGCTCATTTCATCATCATGCATGACCTTCCAAAGAGAGGCTGTCAATGACAGTGTGATTGTTCACAGAAAGTAAATGTTAGTTTAATCTCTTCTTCATTCATTGTTACAGGTCTGTAATCCAGTGATGATACAGTCAATGCAAAAGTAATAAAAAAGACGTTACTGTAACTTCAGATACATCTGGAACTTTGTAAAAAAAAAATGGTAACATTATCTAAAACATTCTAATTTCTGGAGCTTAGTATAAGTCAGCACTAAGTGTGCCATGTTTTGAATTTAACTGCCCATCTTTGGCCCTTTATTTGGTAAAAACAAATGTTTTTGTTGTTTTGCTATGTCAAATTATATGAAAAAGAAAGTTCTTTGAAGTTTGCAGGCATCATTTATGGACAGCTTTTTGGATGTCCCACCCAATGTTCCCTCTAATTTTTCATGTGTCTGAGCGACCCACGTGTGCACTGTGGTCACGCCAGCATCAAATCCATCCAAGTTACATGGTTTATTAAAATAATCAAATTACAGCCTTTACATTTATGTTAGACTACTTTCAATTAACTGCTTTAGCCCACTTACACTGAAAATTAAAAAAAAAAAATCTTGTTCATGTGTTCATCTGTGTAGTATGTTAACACCATTGGAAGTAAAAAGAACTTGAACTCCAATTTTGAAAACAAAACTTTATTTTTCTTTTTTTTTTAAAAAAAAAGCTCTGACTTGTATTATGAGTATGAGTCTGTGGTCTGGGAGAGAGTCCTGTAACTCTCTGTCTGCAAAATACAGTATATAATGACCAATGTTGGGCAATTAATTATATAGTTACTTCTTCAAAAAAGTAACTGAGTTATGCAAACAACAAAGTTTTTTGCAGCTGTTTACCTAAAAATGCAGCCAAGGCGTTTTTTATATACTATTTACAGAACAATCAGCTGTTCTGCATCAAATTTGATGCCACTCAAATCATTTGTGTCACTCCAAAAAATAATTTCTGTCCACTATGAGATAAAGGAGAACAACAGCCTGATACCTGCAGGCCTGACAACAGGAGATGTATCACTCCTGTAACACCTGTAACATTCAGCAGTCGCCTCATTGTTCTGACACACACAACAAAACTATTGACTACACTACACACTAACTACACAAGATTTGCGCTAAACGTCGCAAATCTCTCACATCTCAAAACACCGCCGTCACTCCTAAAACTTCCCCCCTTCCTAAACATCTAAATGCCATGTTGCCATATCATTTTTTGATTGGTCGACATGGTACATTTTTCGACCAATAGGAAAGGCTGGGGGGTTTTTGGTTTTGTTTTTGCTCACAGGCGGAGAGCGCTTTTGAGCGTTTTCCTTATAAATTTAAAGGAAAACGCGTCTGTTTCCTAATAAAGCTGTTCTGTGTACGACAATCATTTCTGGAGCTTGTCTTGTTCAACCAGTCTGTTGTAGATTTGCTGCTCTTCTTGGGTTCATTGTCTTGTTGTATGACCCAGTGTCAGCCAAACGTTAAGTGCTAGACGGATGGTTAGAATTCACAATAACTGCGAGGTGTCCAGGTCTTATGGCTGCAAAAAACAAGCTCAAATCCCCACCCCTGCACCACAGTGCTTGATAGCTGGTATGTTTGTGATGATATGCTGCGTTTCTTTTTACTCCAAACGTGGTGCTGTGCATTATAACCAAACATTTTCACATCTGTTCAAAGGACATTGCTCCAGAAGTCTTGCGATTTGTTCGGACACACCTTTACAAATGTGCACATATGTTCTTTTAAAGAGAAGAGACTTCCTCTTGGCAATTTTTAACAACAAGCCATACTTTTTCAGTCTTCTTCTAATTGTACTGTCAAGAATTTTTACATTTAAAAATGTTAACATGTTAAGTGAAGCCTGTAGAGTCTGAGACGTAGGTGTAGAACTGCATTTTTCTGGCACATTAACTCCTGAGGAGATCTGCAACTGTCTTCAATGTTTTTCCACTTTTTAATATTTTTTCTTATTAGACTTCAAACAGTTTGGAAATTACTTTGTGACCCTTCTCAGATTAATTGGCAGCAGCAACTGTTTCTGTAAGATCATTGCTGATGTTGTCCTTACTTGGCGTTGTGTTGACGCACATCTGAATGCTCCAAACCAGCAAACTGCCAAAATACTGATATTGATTAGCAGCACCTGGCTGCTAATTCCTATGGAAACAGTAAGAGTGCACTTAGTTTTTCCACACACCGTCTCTGCATTTTGGCTTAATTTTTGTTAAATAATGACACAGATGTAACATGTCATGTTTTGTCATTCATCTTAGGTTTTAATTAGCCAAATTTGTGTTATTTTTTGGTACACAAGACTGAAAGAGGGCACTTTTCAACAAACATTTCACATCTGATTAAACATCTGATGATGTGGCAGAAACTGTGAGTGTAACATGTGGAAGGTTATGATATAGTTAATAAAGTTTAGTTATTTTACTTTTAAGAAATAACTAGATGAAAGTTAGTAATCTTAACTAACCATTATTGATGTAAAACTTTTTCTTAATCAACTATCATATAATAACTAATATGTTATGTAATCATATGACCTTAAACAATGGTTATTATAGACTGTTGCCAGTCATTTTAAGGCCTGTTGTAGAAGTACAGCGATAACGTCTTTGTGTTCATGGATAGAAATAACAATAATATCAGCATCATGATATACGAGCCTTTAGTTCTGAGTGGTTTCCGTGTCGTGACCTGAATACCTCAGCGATGAAGCCAAGCCAGCAGCTCATTAACATTCCAATACAGGCCTAATCACCACTGCAACTGTGTGTGTGTGTGTGTGTGTGTGTGAGAGAGAGAGAGAGTCAGAGAGAGGGGAAAAGAGAGATCATGCACGTGTTGCTCCGCGAGCGAGGACACGGTGAAAGTGTTTGATGAAGTGCCTGCCTCAGGTGATTACAGCCGCGTGGGGTGATTGGTTCCATCGAATCGCACCTCTCCTCTCACATCTCGGATGCTGCTGCGCAGCTTTTTTGCACAGCTGAGTCTCGTTTTGCTAACAAGTTTTATTGATCGACTCATCGGAATGAGAAGTATGAGGACTGGCGAGAGATGAAAGATGCGCAAGCAAACATAAAAGGCAGCAAAAACGAGTGCGAGAGCTTTAAGGTGGAGACGTTTCATTCGTTATGGTTGTGCATACGTTCCCATGTTTGTTCACTTAACCTCAGATAACCATCTGTGTGTCTTTTTCTGTCTGTCCCTCTGCAGAAAGACTATATAACTCCAATGGACGTGACTTGAGAAGAGCACTCTTCTCTCTAAAGCAAATTTTTCAGGTAACACACTCTCTCGCACACACACACACAAACACACACACATTTTTCAATGCAATTACCGTGAGTACATTGTTGCAGAATACAGTCGGTTATTGTGGCCACTGTGTGCTTCTGTGATGACAGGATCTCCATCAACGTGGCGTTTCTCTCTCTTTCTTTGTGTGTGCATGTGCGCGTGTGTGTGTGTGTATTTGCATTGAAATTTGTGTGGGAATCTTTTATTTTAAGTGGAGAAGAGTTAGCCACTTTAAAAAAAGAAGAGCTCTGCAGCACAAACAGAACAGAAGCACTCCGTATGTAAAAAGACAGCGATTCAGCAAACGGAGCAGCACTGTGCAAACTTCCAGATTGTTCAAAAAAGTGCAGCATTCAAGCTATTAAAAGTGGCCCTTTTTTGCAACTAAACACTAAATAAAAAACCCTCCGTGCAAGCTCCATGCTTATTTCCTACCACCTTCTCCTCAAAGGATGCCTGAACTTGGAGCTTTAACGGGGCACATGAAGGCGTTTTTGTTTCTTTAAGAAATGACACATAAAAAGCAGAAAACTGTAAAAAACCATGTCTGCTGACAAGTGTGAGTGTGTATACCAGCTGGTCTGATCCCAGAGGAGGGTTTGAAAATCTGTGTTGTGTCAACTTAAATCTTAAACCTCCACATCACTGACATCAAGTGGCAACACAAGAAAATGCATTAACTGCATCCACGAAATTACGAGCTCGGTTCTGGTTATCCCGTGCTTCCTCTATTTGTGCTCATTTTCCTTCAGGATGACAAAGACCTGGTCCATGAGTTTGTGATGGCTGAAGGTCTGACGTGTCTCATCAAGGTGGGAGCAGAAGCTGACCAAAACTACCAGAACTACATATTAAGAGGTATGGTCTCTTGCATGCTGCATAATGATATATGCTAAGAATAATAACAATAATATATAATTATAATACATGCTTGGATCAGGGGGGTCATTCTGTCTTTCTCTGGGGCGACACTGTGAAATGGGACTCACATCAAGGGCCAGACATTTATTTTAACATGTTTTTAAATCCTGTATAACAATTAACAAACAAGATCAAATGATATCTGATGATTCTATTGCCTGAAATTGTCTGCACATAAAAATAAAATTTGCCTGTAGTTCTCAGTGAAAGGACTGGCCTCTGAGAAATGTACCGTGCTGTAGTCGTGTGCCTCTGTGGCTCCGTGACGTTTTTAAAGCAAACACTCAGTCTTTATGGCTCTACATCTTTGCCGGCGTGTGGACAGAAGCATCCAAGTGAAGACAATAATTACCTTACCCTGTCGAGATGTGGGCTTTTCAGTGTTCCACTTCTCTTGAAATAGCCTGCATTCAGCATCAGCTTTTCCTTTGTGTTTCTTAGCTAGTCTAAGCACATGTGGTCATGACGGCATGTCGTGACTGATTTGGACATGTTACTTAGAAGATATGCATGAAAAATAAAATTGTAAAAATGAGAAACAAATGCAGAAAAACTGCATTTCGAGTGCTTTAAACAGAGTTTTTAACCCTATTATTATTTCTGCTGAATATTATTATAAGATGGCAATACAAAAAGAGCAATGTAATGGAATTAAATTAGGTCATGTTTGTCACTCAGAGGTTTTCTATCGAGCTGTTAGTCATGGTTGGTGCCATCGTTGTCATGACTGATTGATTTTCTCAGCATAATCAGAATCACTGCTGTCACTGTAACTGATATTATCGCTGTTATTTAATTCCTTTTGGTTCTTTTTTATTTATTTCCTCTTTATTTTATTTTACAACAAGTTCTCAGTCATCTTTGCGTATACTTTTCTGACTTTTCCTTTCTTCCTCAGCTCTCGGGCAGATCATGCTCTACGTGGACGGGATGAATGGCGTCATTGGCCATCCTGAGACAATCCAGTGGCTCTACACTCTCGTTGGCTCGAAGGTATCAAGTTAAGCGTGCATCCTAAAAAACTCAGAGAACACACACACACACCACCCTGACGTTGGTTAACCAGCCATTGTTTGCAGAACATTATTTTTAGCGTTTATCCAAAGAAACACACACAAACACATACCCTAATGATTGTGTTGTGTGTTTCCAGCTGTGGGTGGCGGCTTCTGTTGGTTTTGTGGTGTCCTTGTGCACTAGGCACCAAGACACTCGTGCTGGGACTGTTTTCCCTACACTACCACCCCCCGGTTTCACTGTTGTTGCCAGCGTGAGAACATATAGCAATAAAATCTCCAGAGGAGGCGCCTTCCGTGTCGAACGCTGGGGTAAAAGCATTCAAAGATCCTTCTTCGACTTGAAGTGATCTTCTAGTTCACAGCAGATGAACCACAGGGCTGTAGGCGTAGCCACCCTGCACTCATGAACTCTTTCGTCCAGGGCAGTTCTAGTGGAATTTGGCCTGCAATTATTTCCCCAAAACAATGCACTAGACCCCTGTTGCTCCTCCTGCAGACTACGGGCCCGCAGGATGATGGTCCCACCATGAGTAAAGGGAGTTGCTCGCCAACAAGACATTGCCCATGTCTTGCCCTAGACATTGGCATACTATCAGACTATCTTAGGTGGGATAAATTGCGCCGCAGTACTAAAGTGAGTATGTTGATCAGCATTTACTTCCTTGAGATTTTTTGAACTACGGTTCTGCAGCATCTGCAGCCGTCTTTGTTAACGAGTTCATGAAATTCCTTCCTAACCCAAACCAAAACCATAATTCCTAGTTGCCTGATGATGTCCGTTAAAATAAAATTAACCAAAATGTCGCGTTGCCTAAATTTTAAACCAAATCCTGTAAAATGTAATTTATATTATGAAGTTTCCCCAGACCAGCATCCCTAAAACAGTGGTTCACAGTATAACTGTATAAATAGATTATGTCCCCGCAGAATGATTATTACAAGCACAACACACACAAAAAATGAAATAGCATCTGCTCGTATGTTTTGGTTGCCACTAATGCTAAACATGTGAATTCTAAATGTCTAGAGTGGTTGAAGAGAGCAATAGGAACACAGTTGTCCGTACTTTATGCAAGTTTCTTTATATTTCCACCCTAGTTTCGTCTGGTGGTGAAAACAGCTTTGAAGCTGTTGCTGGTGTTTGTGGAGTACTCAGAATCCAACGCGCCACTGCTGATCCAAGCCATCACCTCTGTGGACATGAAGAGAGGTACTAAAAGCTTAACATGCCACCATGTGCTGAGGGCTTAAAGTAGAAAGATACTGTAGTTTGTCTGCATGATAATATTTTTGAAGTAATGGAATTTAATCGACTGACTTCTAGGCAGCAAGCCATGGTCCAATGCTATGGAGATCTTGCATGAGAAGGATGGAGTGGATACGGAGCTTCTCGTCTATGCAATGACCCTCATCAATAAGGTATGCAAAGCTATAGTTTATGGCTTTGCTGAGTACTTTCTTGTGTGGATATAGAACATTTTCAGTTTTATGGAAAACGCATCTTGGTTTTCTCCCGTAAGTGATCAGTTGATTGACTGACTTTGTGTTTTGTCATTTTGCATGTAGATATAAACTGTATTGCGAAGTTTTAGTCCTTTAGCTTCAAAGGCTAAAATGAAAAACTTAAATATATGATTATGTGCATCAAAGCAGTGTTTTAGTCATTAGTGTTTAAATGAGCAAAGCATTTTAAACCTTGGTTACATCTTGACGACGCCTCCTTTCTTTTTGCAGACTCTTGCAGCACTGCCCGACCAGGATTCATTTTATGATATGGTGGATGGTCTGGAGGAGCAGGGCATGGAGACCGTTTCCCAAAGACATCTGGGGAGGAAAGGAACCGATCTTGACTTGGTCGAGCAGCTTAATATATATGAGGTCTGAGACACTCAAACAAAACATTAAAAGCGGTTAAAAAAGGGTTATTACTGATCCCTTTTCAGCTTGTAAATGCTGTACTTATAGCCCAAATAAAGGTCAGAGTGCCATGTAAAATATAAAACTAAAAACAGAATGTTATGGTTTGTAAGTCATTTAAACCAAACATAATAGCTGAAAATAGTGCAAAACTTTATATCAAAGTCCAGTTTTTGTCTATTTAAAATAGTGGCATTTTTCTTAATGCTCATTCTTTTAGGCTTAGGATGGCATTGTCTTGTGAAAAAAAAGGTGTAAAAACGTGTCATCTGGATGGGAGCATATGCTGCTCATAAAACTTTCTTTGGAGATTGTGTATCGGAATTTCAGGAGCAGGACCACGCCTCCAAACACGCCCCTTTCGGTTGAAATCTATATAGGTTCCCCCAGTTCTGCAAGCTGTTCATTCTCGTTTACGTGCCCCACCCTCCCTCCTTTTTCTCAATTCTTTAACTTTTTCATTTCTACTTAGTGCACGGGGATCTGCAAGGCCCGGGAGCCATCGCCAGTCCCCTTCAAGGCCTTCCCCAAACTGCAGCTCAATTCATCTCAAAGCTTTTTTACCTACTAAAACGCTGTCAAACCTAAAATGAGGACGTGGGCCCAGCTAGTGAAATACATCCTCCAGCAATAACGGTGCCTTCACAGTTATTGTTTGAAAATCAGAGCGTTGAACAGTGGACCTAAATGGAGACGTGGAGGCAGAATGAATAAACAAATACAAAAACATTTTTGGTTTTATGCTAAAGTTCTAAAGAGTAAGTTCAGTAGCAAAGAACACACTCGTAGAGATGGCTGTAGTATACATGGAAGGTTAACAGATGCTATGACAAGGAGTAAAGGGAATGTCAGGGCTATTTATACACGAGGGTAATCAGGGAAGTGGAAACACAACAGTAACAAGACTCAGCTGCACTCAATCTAGACATGGGAACAGGGGAGGGGAGTAAAACTAAAAACGAGGCACGGGTGATAACTAAAAATAAATAAATGAAACAGAAAGTGAAGAACAAGAACTATAAGAAGCCATAATTTAGTCTCACAGCATGTTAGCTTTGGAAATGTGTGTTGATAACAAGTTCCACTCATTGGACCAAAGGATCCAGCATTTTTCATTTACCAAAAAATCTACAAATTTTTGATTTAGATTTGGGTCAGACCACTTTGCTTCATTTAAACCCTAACATTTTTTTAAGTACCACTCACTTTACAACCTGTCATGTCTTTCCCCAGACGACCCTACGGCATGAAGATGGTGATGATGACAGCCAGCCTCCACCAATGGTACGCCGGGACCGCAGGCGAGCCAGCGTTGGGGGCGGGGACAAAAGACATGGCCTGGAGAGGAGGCGGAGCCGCAGGGCTTCTCTTGGACGATCCGGTTACGCCTCGCCCTGCAGCCCCGCGTCCCCACAGAGAGCCGGCTTCCAACCTTTCAATGGAATCGGATCTGAGGACGTGAGCGAGAGGTGAGGGTGGTGGAAAATAAAACAGTTACGTATCACTTCTTAAAATCTAGGTGCAGGGTTACTCTAAAGGTGTGGTGACAAAGCAAACAAAAAAGCGATAGTTGTTTAATATGTTCTCATTCTTCAAAGAAGTTCTGACTGTTTTACTGCTTTCTGCTCCAGAGCACTGTCAGGTTACCTTCAGTCCATGTAAGTCCAAACGTCGCTGAGCCTCTGCTCCTCACAGACCCGCTGTAACAGCTACCCATGTGTCCTCCCTACTCACAGCGTGGGTTTTCCTGCTGCACCGAAACACCACTGCAGACTTCTGCTGCACTGGAATAAAAATAATTGTTTTCAGCAGCTGCGCACGCCTTCGGGGTTTGCTTGGAATTCTAATACAGGCGAACACGGTATTAAACCAGCACAGGCTTTTCTCAACGCTGTGTGTAAGAGCACAACAAAATGGGATCAGGATGGGACTTTAACTGTTTACTAAAGGCAAATCTTTCATCTATTGGTCCTCTTCTCCTCTTTAGATTTGAGTATAATAATAGATGAAGGATTAAATGTAATCTGCTTTTGTCACATTAGTAGACAAATAATGGGGTTTAAGAGCTAAATCGTGCACACCTGAGCATACCTGTAAATCCTGAAAAACGGGTTCAAACGCGGTCAGCTGTACTGTAAAAGATACATTTTTATCCCGTGATTTATTTTTGAATGATTCTAATCAGTGGGTGAAAGCTGTTTACGTCCGGGACCGCATCCTGCTTCGTATTATGCACGCACACAAGAAAAACAAACCCAAGTTTTATTGACCATCCCATTCGTCACACACACATGGCTGTGGTCTTGTGGAACAACACCTGGCAGCGCGGACGGACTTGACTGCAACAGGGCTCATCTGGTTTCACTATAAAACAGCGCAGCAGTTTGGTGACAGCGATCCCCCAGCCGGTTTCTCCTCTCAGCATTCCTTTCCCTCTTTCCTTGTTATCATGTTCTGTGTTCATGCGCATGTAAAACCACCTAACTGGAGGCATGAAGTGTGTAATCAGAAACATTCATCTGCCTTCTCTCCCCTTTTCATTTCTTGTGTGTTTTCTCTTTTCTTGCCTTGTCTTTGTTTGTTTTCCTTGAGTGTCTTAACTGTGACTTTTTAGTGTAGCCTTAAACATCTTCTCCACACATGACCCCTCAGCCATTCCATCCCTTTGCTCCAACACTCTTTTTTTCTGTGGAGATTTCTATTTGCATGCTTTTCTTATGTATCACTTCATCTCTCCCCTATCCTTACCTCGAATCGTCCACCTGTCTATGTATTCATTCGTCCACCCCCCCACCCCCCCTCCACCTCGATAGAGTGGAGGAATGTGAGGAGGATAGCATTGAGGAGGAGAAGGAGGAAGAGGAAGAGGAAACTCCTGTGACTGAGTCTGATTCGGATGAGCAGGAGGGGGCTAATGAGACCACCTCCAGGTATTTTAGGACGTAGTGGTAACATAGCAATGAAATAATGCTTTCATAAAGGTCTCGAATGTCTCTTTAGTCCCTGCCTGTCCAGCTGGTTTGCTCTGGTGACCCATGTCTGTTGTAGATTTGCCTGCCGGTCTGCTCAGTTCTGCTTTTACCCATTTATTCCTCTCGATCCATTCCTCTGTTCCTAGCCCCGCTAGACATCTTCCATCCACTGTTCAAAGAACAACCCTTCAGTCCATCACCATCACGTCCAGAAAGGAGTCTGTAAAGGAGACAGAGCAGAGGAATTGGAGTGAACCGACCCCAGCAACAACTACCACCACCAGCATTTCGTCCCCCTCTACCCCAACCCTTTCTCCCACTGTGTCCTGCGCTCCCAGTCCTCCAGGACAGCCCTCGCTCCTGGCCACACTGCTGGCCAGAAAAAAGTCTATCGTCACTGTGCCAGCTACCAAGGAGGTGAGCCCGCCGTTGCGTGGCAGCTCGCGCCCCTCCCCCGACCGCCTGCCCTACCTGCCCCACTCGCCCTTCCACCTCTTCTCGTACGATCTCGACGAGGAGCCGTCGCCGCCGGCTCTGGGAAAGCCAAGCGAGGAGTCACCCAAACCAACGACTCCCAGGTCAGATGGGCAGCAAAGCACAGTCACCAATGAATTCAAGAAGCTTTCCTTCTCTTCAGATGTCCTGCTTTTTACTTTGCCAGTTTCCACTTCTGCTTCTGGCTTTTTGTGTGTGTGTGTGTAGGCACCAGTTTGGAGCCACTTTGCATCTCTTTTGTTATTCATCACTTCCCTTCTTTTCAGTTCTTTCACCTCACAGCTTCTCACCTTGAGTTTCTCGGCTCTTGTTGTCACTTTTTGTTCCTTCACGTCTTTTCTTAGTTCCTCCACGACCTCGATGCACTGCAATTTTTTTTTAATGTGCAATCCCCACTTGGCCTCCCAGTAGCATTTCCTTTCCCCTCTTTTCTAAAACAGCACAACCACTGTTTGCTTTTCTTTAACCCTTTCTCACTAGTCTCTCTTTGCTTTTTGCTGAAACTTTGCATTTCCTTACCTTTATATTCTCCACTGCCTGTCCAACTTGACCGTCAGGCAAAGATTAGTTGTTAGATTTCTCTCTTTGTGGTTAAAACTAGATTTCCAAAAGATTCACACTTAATCTGTACCAAATTTGTCATGAGAACGCTGCATGAGTAGTCAAGTGTTCCCAATCAGAAGTTGAATTACATGCATCAAGTTATAGATAACAAGAATCAGATGTTTTTTTGCTTTGTATTGCACACGCAGCAACAGAACCTTAAATAATATAACATTAGCTTAAAAAAGAAAGCTCTTGTCTGTTCCGGCATAATAGCTTGACAAGGCCAAAGGTCTTTTTAGCGGACTCTTAGTGAGGACAGACACCTTGCCTGAAATTTTTCAGCAGCATAATAGAGTAAACACGACAGCAGTTAGCAATTAGGGTCACATTCATTTCTTGGTACGAGTTTTGCACTCGCCGGTTAGTCCATGCTGTGTTGTGCAACCCTGAGAGGTCACTCTCCCTATTTTTCTCCCCCAGGAACGGAGCCCTGACGTCCTACTCCTCTCTCAGTACCCCGAGTACACCTACCAGCTCAAGGTGAGAAGCCACTGCAATAACATGAGGTGTGGAAACATCCTTAAACTACGCACCGCCAGACTGTAAACAGGTTCACACACAGGAACAGAGTCATGTGTGTTTTCACGGACAGACTCACATGTGTAAAAAATACGGAGCATGTGCGGCCCCACCGTGTTTTCGTGCCGATGACATACTAAAGTGAATGTGATCTAAGCTAGTTGGTTCCAGATTTACTAAACTCTCTGGTAAACCTAAACACATAGAAACTGGTCTTATGTAAGGGCCGTATGTTGTGTTATGGCTGTTTTATCAGAAGAGATCAGCAGATTAAAACTCTGCTGCAGAAATCAGGATGACAGGGAATAGAGAAATAAAAATCAATAAATGAAGGAAACCTCCTTTTCCTCACTCTGTCTCTGCTCCTTCAGACCTGCTCTGGGAGGCCTTCTGTCCTCGTCCTACCGCCAGCACCAAGAATCTTTGGCAGCTGAGCGAGAGCGCCGCCGTGTGGAGAGAGAAGAGAGGCTACAGAAAATAGAAAGAGAGGAGAGGAACAAGCACAGGTGATGCATCTTTGGTCATAAAATGCTTTATGCAAGAACAATAAATGAATAAAAGCCATTTTAGCTTGTGGAATGAGTAATTATGTTTCCAAACACTGAAAACCTATATATATAAATATATATATATATATTTATTTATTTATTTATTAGGGGTGCAACGATACACAAAATTCACGGTTCGGTTCGGTACTTTGGTGTCACGGTTCGATATTTTTTCGATACAAAAAA